GGGGGGGCTTCTTCCCTTTGCATTTCTCCCAGAAGTGTACCCGCTGGGAATGCCAGATGACAGAGTCTCTGAATTTGTTTGGGTTTTTTTTCCCTATTTCTGGCAGCTTATTGTACAGCTTTACATTGTCTCACCGCTGGCACCCGCACAGCGGATGGTTTGAGGGTGCCTCCGGTCTTTCCTCCTTTTGCTATGTTCTTCTGATGTTTCTCTCCTTTTTGCCATCCTTGCTCACTTGAGATCATTGTTGCTCTGTCTGTCTTTGTGATTTTTTAAAGCAGACAGTTGTTACATGTTAGTTTTTTAAAGATCATATTTTTTGTTTTAAATTATTGATAGTTTCCATCATTGTTCATATCGTTTTGTAATGAGTGCAGTCTAAATTGTTGTAACAGCATAAGACAAGAGTATCAGCAGCAGAAATGTTATCTTTAGATTAGGTCCTTATATGGGTTTGTGATTATGTTATGACATAAGCATGATTGCTTATCTTCCTCTGCCTCTTCTTCTTCCTCCTGCTCCTTCTTCTCCTACACCTCCTCCTCCTCTTTTCTTTCTTTTTCTTCTTCATCTTCTTATTTGTTGTTAGTTATTTGTGGTATTGTTAATGGGATTAGTTAAATTCTAGTTTTTTCAGGTGTTTGGAGGGCGCAACTGATAGGTCCTATTTCTTTTCTTTTTTTCCCTGCTGTTTCTGGCCTGTCTTTCTTGCTTTTTCCCTTCACTGTATAACTATTATTGTGTTGGTGTGCTTCTCTTTACTCCGACAAACAAGCGAATTGTGTTGGTTTGGATTTTTTAAAATATAGGTTTTTGCGAGGGTGGACAGAAAGTAATGGTAATTGCTATGTAGACCCTAGCGGCTGTAACGTCACTTGACTTCACCCTGGAATTTTTTTTTAACATTGCAAAGTATGATTTGTGCTTCAAAAGAAACAAGATGGAATTCACAAAAAGGGGTGTAAAAACAGCTACATAGAAAAACCCAAAACACAACGCTGATGTATGCATATTCTGTATTCTTTTTAAAAAATCGGGATGGAGGAGGGAAGAGTTGGGGCGGGGGGGGGGGGGGGGGTAGGATAAACTACAGATCACCAAAACATTTATGGATAAAACATTTTTAAAACGGCCAATGACAGTCCCAAGCCTGTATTATAAACGCAGAGGGAAAATGTTAAGTATTGTGGAATGTGGCACATGAACACTGGCAGACCGTGTCATCAAGTTTCAACAGTGGCCAGATAGGTCCGGTGATCGACTATTCCAACTAAAACAGAAACATAGCGGTTAACCTTCCAAGTAAGTGCATACAGGAGCAAGGGATCCAAGTTTTGCCTCTTTCGGCCCACAGCCCTGACTTATCTCCCTGTGACTTCTCGTTATTGTATATTCTGAAAGAGAACAATCTTGTTGAACGACAGTTTGAGCACATCAATGGCTGAGCGCAAGAAGTGACTATCCACTTTTGGTCGAAATGGAGTAATATTATATGGGTAGTGGTAGTGAGATTTTAAGCCGCTCTTTTACCTCTATAAATATCCTAAGCCGTAGCTTAATTTTCTGTATCGAAATGTTAACGTTTCTGGGTTGTTGTTTTTTCTTTTCTTTTTTTTTTTTTTTTGGGGGGGGGGGAGGTTTACAATGTTTACTATGTTTTAGAGACTTCTATATCGTCCAAATTTTAAAATCGTTTTTATCGAATCTGAAAAGTGGATATTATTAAAGAGTTACTTCTGGCGCTCAGCTGTCAACTTTTAAGACAGAGCAAGAGCTTTTGATTTAGCTCTGCGAAGCATACCCGAAGCGGTCTGCCTCTTGAGTCATCCGGAAGGGACTATGGAAGCTAGTAGCCTAGTTTGTATACAAAGTCAAGGAGAATAATATTCTTTCAAGGGACTGAACATCCGAAGTTCATACTATCAACATTTTTTTAATTATTTTACTAACTTCTATTACTCTTTGATCCACCCTTGTAATCTAGTGTTATACACTTATAGTTAAGCATTAGTGCATATATAT